ACTGTAATTTCGTAACGTATCGTATTCGTTTCTAGTGCAGTAATTTCTCCCTAACCCGCGCTCAGATTGCGCACAAAAATGGACAAATTTGGAAAGAGGAGATGCGATTATTCGATCCTTGCAGTTGATTTGTATAGTTACCGATCGTCGACAACTATAGAAACGAGACGCAATACTCGAAAAATCGTATCTCCTCTTCCCGACTTGTCCATATTTGTACGCAATCTGAGCGCAAATTACGGAGAAATTACTGTACCAATTTCACTTATTCTGTTCATCTCACCTTACTTTCTTTATTTCTGAATGCAACAATTTTACCACGCGTATTCGATAACTATAATATTAATTATGCTTGAAGACGAACCAAAGGCCCCACAGTAACCGACTCCACTACCCTATCAGCCACCGCGGTTCCCTTACAAGACCGTCGACACGTCGCCAGCCCGAAAAGGAAAATATTGCCGTTCGCAGCGTCGCGAGAGCTCGTCGTCAGTTCGTCGCCGCGTTCGTTTTCCCCGTTGAACGCATTAACGTGCCGCGGTAATCGAACGCGGAACAGCGCCGGTGGCAATTTTCCGCGACAAATCGATCGGCGCCCCGTCGCGTTATCAATCTGCCAGCACGTCTTCGCGGCACGTCGTCGCGCGAACGAACGTCCGCTCGAAATTATCGCGATTCGCCGCGGCGCATTACGGACTTATCGTTTCGCGTGTCATAGCCGGACGTGTCCGCGACGTTATTACCGCGGGTTCCAGGCGTGCGTGTGAAATCGATTCATCAGAGATACTTTGCGTCACCACCGGGATCCGTGGCGAATACTCTGCGCGGCCGTGTGCTCGCGGGCCGGGCCTATCGGTTCCCGGATTTATTGCGTCCTTCTTAATTAGTTCTGTTCGAGCGACCGTCTAATCCAATGGCGGATCGGTGGGTCGGCAAGGGGGGCAGCCGGGCTACGTTATCGTGGTCGAGGACGAGGTCCGGGGCGACGAGGGGGGGACGTAGCACGTATAATTACGTGGAAAGAATCGTGGCGCGCGGGATCTCTTTCTCTTTCCCGTGCTTTCGCTAAGTCGAAGGATCAAAGAGGACGATCCACACGGCGCGGCGCGGCTCGGACGACGCGCCCGGCTCCTTCGACCGGTCCAACGATGCGTCACGGTTTTAACGGGGGAACGAGTTCGGGTCCGCACTCAACGAAGGCGTTCCCGGTGAATTTGCGTGAAACGACTCCGCGTATCGGTGTGTTACGGACCAAGGATAAAGGTGGTAGCCACGGCGGAGGGACCCCCTTCGACGAGCGAGCTCTCCGACTTCTCGCGGGAGGAAGACGAAGAGGACGACGATGACGAGGAAGAAGAAGAACGGTGAGCCTGGCCGGCGGAGTAGGAGGAGGAGGAGGAGGTCGAGCCGGAGGAAGAGCAGCAGAGAGAAGGAAGAGAGGAATCGGAGGTAAAGGCAGACAGGTACTCACAGCCAGAGACCAGGTAGCCAAGACTCCGGGCTCTCGACTCTCTGCTCTCTGCTCTCCGGCCAGGTACTCTCGGGTAGGCAGCCTTGAGTCAGTGAGACTGGTTTCTGTTTTTGCTTCCATAGTTCCATCCTTCGAGAATCTTCGGTAGTCCGTCCTTCTTCCACTCGCCTCCTCTCCGACCCTCGCCCCTCGTCGCCGATCCTCGGCACTCGGCTCCGTTCGCCAGCCGTTCTTTTTCTGTCTTTCGCGTCGATCCGAGTCTTTCTTCTCCGATATCTTTCACCGGTTGTTCGCTTTTTTCCGCGGTGCTTTCTACTTTTTCTGCAACGGCAGCAAGCACTCTCTCCCCTTTCGTTGCCGCACCACGGCGCCCTGTCTTCCGGCGAACCGGTAGCTCGGCCACCGATCGCGGGGACCGATCCGCCGGAAATGACGGCAACGTTTTTCGATCTCGAGGCTCCACGGGTTTCGTCCTTACGCGTGCTTGAAAATTAACCCTGCAATCTCCTGCGATCTCTGCAAAATTCTCTCTCTCTCTCTCTCTCTCTCTCTCTCTCTCTCTCTCTCTCTCTCTCTCTCTCTCTCTCTTTG